ATATCATATTATAATACTTGGGAAGAGAACAGCAGATTTTTTTTTAATCAAAGTTTGTCTAGATATAATGGTCATAATGCAGCAGGTCAGTTTCTGTTAATATTAAGTTATTTGACATAGTATGTCCAGGGAATTAATGTGTTTTCAGAGGAAGTGTAATAACTTGACCTACTGCAGTAGATTTCCTACTGTTTCATAAGTGACATTACATACTTTGGGTACCTTGCATAACTTGAAGCCTATAGAGAAGTTGCAGCCTAGATGCAATGTGCATTTAGAGAAAGATTGCGATCCCATGGAGCCCTTGGCAGATTATCCCTCACCTCCTTTTATTCTTCATGTAGGGGCCTCTGTCTGACCTCTAGGCCCTAGGGTGGATGCTTATGGTGGCCTTATGGCTAATCCTGCTCTGTGTGTACTATATATAACTGTTGGAATGTTAAATAAATGTGTTGAACTCAAACATTTATAGCTGTAATTTATATTTTCTACTAGGAAACTCACCCGTGACTGTCACAGATTAAAAGTCATACAGTTACATAGTTACATAGTTACATAGATGAAAAGAGACTTGCGTCCATCAAGTTCAGCCTTCCTCACAAATGTTGTTGCTGTTGATCCTGAAGAAGGCAAAAAACCTGGTCTGAAGCACTTCCAATTTTGCCACAAACTAGGAAAAAATTTCTTCTTGACCCCAAAATAGCAGTCAGATGTCTCCTTGGATCAAGCAGCTATTACCCCACTAATTAGAAATTATATCCCTGTATGTTATGTTTTTGTAAGTATTTATCCAATTTCAGTTTAAACATCTGTATGGACTCTGACAAAACCACCTCTTCAGGCAGAGAATTCCATATCCTTATTGTTCTTACTGTAAAAAAAAAAACCTTTTCTTTGCCTTAGATGAAATCTCCTTTCTTCCAGCCTAAATGTGTGACCTCGTGTCCTATGTATAACCCTGTTTATGAATAGATTTCCAGATAAAGGTTTGTACTGGCCCCGAATATATTTGTATAAAGTTATCATATGCCCTCTCAGGCGCCGTTTTTCCAAACGAAACAGATTTAATTTTTGTAACCTTTCTTCATAACTAAAATGCTCCATTCCTTTTATCAATTTTGTAGCTCGTCTCTGGACCCTCTCCAGTGCCATGATATCCTTCTTAGAACAGGCGCCCAAAATTGCACAGCATATTCAAGGTGTGGTCTTACCAGCGATTTATAAAGAGGCAAAATTATATTTTCATCTTGAGAATTTATGCCCCTATTTATACATGACAAAACCTTACTGGCCTTAGCAACTGCGGATTGACATTGCATATTGCTGCCTAATTTGCTGTCTATAACAATTCCCAAATCCTTCTCGTGTGTGGTTATCCCTAATTCACTACCATTTAGTGTGTAAGTTGCTTGTGCATTCTTAACCCCGACGTGCATAACTTTGCATTTCTCTATGTTAAATTTCATCTGCCATTTTAGTGCCCAGTCCCCCAATCTATCCAAATCTCTCTGCAGCAAAGCAATATCCTGCTCACATTTTATTACTTTACAAAGTTTTGTGTCATCTGCAAACACTAATACATGGCTTTCAATGCCTATTTCAAGATCATTTATAAATATGTTAAATAGAAGTGGTCCCAAAACAGAACCCTGAGGGACACCACTTACCACTTTTGTCCAGCCTGAAAATGTACCATTAATTACAACTCGTTGTACTCTTTCCTTAAGCCAATGTTCTACCCAAGAACAGGAATATTCATCTAGACCAATTTCTTTTAGTTTGAAGACTAACCTATTGTGAGGAACCGTATCAAATGCCTTGGCAAAGTCCAAGTAGATCACATCCACTGCAACACCTTGATCTATACTTCTACTTACTTCTTCGTAGAATGCAATTAGGTTAGTTTGACATGACCTATGTTTCATAAAACCATGCTGATTATTGCTAATAACAAAGTTCTTCCCAATGAATTCCTGAATATTATCCCTTAATAGCCCTTCAAATATTTTCCCAGTTACAGAAGTTAAGCTCACAGGTCTACAATTTCCAGGCAAGGATTTTGAACCCTTTTTAAATATAGGAACAACATCTGCCTTCCTCCAATCCTCCGGTACAACACCTGAAACAAAAGAATCTTGAAAAATTAAATACAGAGGTTCACTTATTTCCCCACTTAGCTCCTTAAGTACTCGTGGCTGAATACCGTCAGGCCCCAGAGCTTTATTTACATTAATTTTCTTTAATAGCTGTAGTACCTTGTCTCGAGTTATCCAATCACAAGTTATTTGCAAGTTTTTTGCAGCAAACATTTGCATATCTCTTGCCATAGGATCCTCATTAATATATACTGAAGAAAAATAGTTATTTAAAATTTCTGCTTTTTCCTGGTCTTCATTAGCTAATAAACCCAACTCTGTTTCAAGTGTACCTACACTTTCATTTTTTGTTTTTTAGAATTGATGTACTTGAAAAAAAATTTGGGGTTGGTTTTGCATTCTTTAGCTATCAATTTCTCATTTTCTAGTTTAGCCACTTTAATTGCCTTTTTGCAAGTGTTATTGGCTTCCTTATATCTTAAATAGGATGCCTCTGATTTGTCTGATTTAAATGCTTTAAATGCCCTTTTTCTTATTTTTAATCTCTTGTTTTACTTCTCTACTAAGCCACATTGGTTTTAATTTGTTTCTTTTATATTTATTACCCAATGGTACGTACTGAGAAATGTACCTTTCTAATATATGTTTGAATAGTTTCCATTTATCCTCAGTGTTTTTATCACTAAGGAGTTTATGCCAGTCGATATGTTGTAGAGCTGCTCTAATCTTATTGAAATTGGCTTTTTTTAAATTATATGTTTTAGTATACCCCACCTGCTTTTGCTTTTTTGAGTTTATTTCAAAATTTACCATATTGTGATCACTATTCCCCAAATGCTCCCCTACTTGAATGTTGGTTAAAAGATCAACTTTGTTTGTTATGACAAGATCCAGACAAGCATCCTTTCTAGTTGGTGCTTGTACCAGTTGTGACATAGAGGTGTCATTTAACACATTCAAAAACCTGATTCCCCTTGCTGAAGTACTAGTCCCTCTTTCCCAATTTATGTCTGGATAATTAAAATCTCCAATAATTAACGTGTTACCTCGATTTGCAGCTTTCTCAATTTGCTCTAACAGCTGTTCTTCCTCATTAATATTTACATTAGGTGGTTTATAACATATCCCAACCAATAACTGATTTCCCTTTGTTTGCCCCAAGCAGATATCTACCCATAAAGCCTCCACCTTTTCCTCGTCACACTCCACATGCCTAAGATTTGACTTTAACTCATGGTTGACATATAAACATACCCCACCACCCTTCTTGTTTTTCCTATCCTTCCTAAATAACGTGTACCCATTTAAATTAACTGCCCAGTCATGTGTCTCATCCCACCATGTTTCTGTTATGCCTATTATATCATATTGTTTAGTGTATGCTATTGCCTCTAGTTCCCCCATTTTGTTATATAGGCTCTTTGCATTAGTAAGCATACATTTAATATTATCATGAGTCTTTTGTACTTTTTGTGAATTATCAATATTACATACCTCCTCTGTTCTGAGTTTTCCCCTCCCCCCATCTCCACCCCCTTTGTTCTGAGCTAAAGCCCATCTCCTTTCCATCCTATCTCCATTTTCTAGATTGCTTTGACCCTCCCCCCCTACCACTAGTTTAAAATCTCCTCCAACCTTCTAACCATCCTATCCCCCAGCACAGCAGACCCTCTTCCGTTTAGGTGCAATCCATCATGACTATACAGGTTGTACCCAAGCGCAAAATCGGCCCAGTGCTCTAAAAACCCAAAACCCTCTTTCCTGCACCAAGACTTTAGCCACGCATTGACCTCTCTAATCTCCCGCTGCCTTTCTGCTGTAGCACACGGCACAGGTAATATTTCTGAAAAAATTACCTTGGAGGTCCTTTTCTTAAGCTTACTTCCTAGTTCCCTGAACTCATTCCTTAGGACCTTCCATTTTCCTCTGACTTTGTCATTGGTACCAATATGGACCATGACAGCTGGGTCATCTCCAGCCCCTCCCAATAATCCCTCCACTCTGTCGGCAACATGCCGGACCCGAGCACCCGGGAGACAGCAAACTGTCCGGTTGAGTCGATCAGAGTGGCAGATTACCCTATCTACTCTCTTAATAATAGAGTCCCCTACCACCACAACCTGTCTAGACTTCCTTACCCTCTCAACCCCACCCGTACTAGAGGGGCTGTTTCCACGGCTGTTAGCAGGAACAGCTTCCTGCAGTACAGCTACTCCTGAGCTGATGCTCCCAACATCTTCACTCAAACGGGCAAATCTGTTAGGCTGCATGAGATCAGGACTAGCTAAACCTTTTCTCTTCCCTCCCCCCCTGCTTCCTCGCCCTGCTGTCACCCAGCTACGTGCCTGTTCCCCGTCTGTCTTATCTCCTCCCTCTCCACTACCTGTCCCCAATAAACTTTGCTCAGTGAGCAGCAGACTCCTCTCAAGATTGTCAATGTAATTTGTAATGTTTCAAATGTGAGAATAGTTAGCCCAAATATTTGCTCTCATTAAAAAAATGGGACTCATCAGGGTTGTCCCTTGTCCAATTCCTCTATATTCTTACAATAAAAAAATACTGGCCTTCAGTATATAAGAATAAACACAATATTAAAGGATTTAAAGTTGACCAGCAAGAATGAAAAATCTGCTTATATGCTGATAATATATTAATCACACTGGAAGACCCTATAACGTCTCTAGGATCCCTCATGAACCGAATTGAAGAATATAGTAGGATAGTGAATTATTAGGCTAATATTAATAATCAACAATATTATATATAAATATTGAAGGGGAGGGGGGCGGAGCCAGCTGCCATACTGTCCGGATGCATCCCGAGAACCCAGAGAACTAAGCCCAAATACTTTCCTTACCAGAACGGCAATCGATTGACAGGAATGCAGAATCGCTTCCTTTAATGATGGGGTGGAAAAACAAAAAATATAAAGCGGATAAAATCCTGGTAACCGCTGATATTGGTGAAATGCTGCGAAGGCCGCAGGGAGCCATGAAACCTGTCATGACGCCTTTATCTGATGGGCTGTCTTACCCATACAGCGAATTATCCCTTCCAGACATGGAGGAGCTGGACATGATAGTTAGAAGACCGAGAGCAGACATACCTGCAAAGTGGACAGAGGGCTCACCGGTGATGGAAGGTGCTCTGAAGGTCCTCCTAGACGACCTCCGTTGCAATGTAGCAGCTGACATTAACTCCTTCAAGGAGGAGATAAGTGGAGTGTCAAGGTGCTTACACGACACAGAAGTAACCGCTTCAGCCAACCATGCCCACATTACTAGCATAGAACCCGAGATAGGTGCGATAGCCAAGGCCAAGATGCAGAACCTCAAGGCGGCAATGGTGGAGGTGGAAGAACATAAAAATAGGGGGCATACCTGAACAGATCAGGCCGGCCAAAATCCCTCACTTAATAAGGAGACTTCTCACTCACCTCTTATCTGCTAAAAAAGACAAACTGATGGCCATGTATGGCTGGTTCAGGCTTCCAGCACCTCCATCATGTTCCACCGAGGTGAATAAGGATGTCAATGTCCGGTTTCAAAACGGGCCATATAGGCAGGGGTTTCTAAATGTGCTCCGGAATAAGTCGCCATACCACTTCGAAGGGCACACTCTAATGTTCTATCTAGACCAATCCAGAGCAACACTCAATTGGCGCAGATCCCTGAGACCGCTGGCAGCAGAGCTGATAAGAAACAACGTGCCTTACAAATGGGACAACCCAAAATGCCTGCTATTACCTCGAGATACTGAGAATCTGAAAGTCCAAGAGATCTTGGACATTACAAACACCCTACAGCAACTGATGCTGACCACATCACATAGAGGTACACTGCCTGCAACCCAAGAGCCCCAAAGTCCACTTGGGATCCAGTTAAGGTTCACCCATTCGTGGCAATTCTGCATTGGCAGCTATCTCCTGAACAACTGATTAACTCTCTGAATTATAAAGGCTATAGTTCAGTTTTGCTTCTGAATGTTTGTCTCACAGTTCATATAATGTTTTAAAACTATATTTGCTTGTTTGTTTGTTTTTTAAATTAGATTTCTGCACAGGAAAAGTAAAGAGAGTCAACATTTTCACAAAAATACTGGTTTAGAATTTAGAAATGATACAGTATACTGTATATCAAGTGCAAAATAAACATAGTGAAAATAAATATTTGGATAAATTCACACATTTGTTTTACCTAGTCTTTAAAGCTCATTACGTTCATTAAAAATGCTAATATATTGGGGGAGGATATAAATCATTTACTGACTCATGCAAACAATCTAAAGAGAGGATCCTACAACTGAAAATACAATTTATTTCAAGTAAAAAATACAATGAGGTTAATTTACAAAAAACAAGTTAAGCGCCAAGCCAACAACTTTTAGACCAAAATAACTGGTATAACGTCATGGTGTTGATGAAATATTACCAACACAGCCCTAAATTTTGCTCATTGACTGCTAATTTAGAATGACACAGTGTTTACTAAATAGACCTAGGATGATATTGTTTTCCATTAAGGGACACTCCAGACCCCAAACGTATTTATTTGCCAATAATAGCAATTTTTTTTTCTTCTCTTTTTTTTTAGGTCTATTAGTACATTAACAGGTGAGGGATCCACCTAGGATATCTTATCCCCACTCGTATGGGATATCAGGACTGTAAATTAGTTATAAATAATCATTGTACCTACCATGAACTTGTGCTTGGTGTATGTTATATGAGATGGCCAGTGGTTGTAAATATTGTGTATATATTTTCTCGATGTGTATAATATATCAATTTAGGATAAGGTCACCAATTAACTGGAGCAACTTTTTGAATGACACTGGGTTATTAATCAATAAATTAATTTTGTCGCAAACTCAGTTATGAATTTTTCCTTAGCATGCATAATTAATGCATAGAGTACGGTATTCATGTTCAAATTTTTGTATATATTATGAGGTTACATAGGGGTTGACCTTGAATACCTGCAACCACGTGTGATTGAGTGCCAACACAATTTGTATTTTTTTTTTTCCAAACTTATTTTAGCTTGCTGAAATACTTTGTGTGTAAAGAGCATGTCCTTTATATTTTTCATTTTACAAAAAGTACAGATTTCAATAGAAATGGGCACTTTTCTAAATTAACCTTGTTACACTCCCTAGCTGTTAGTCAAACGTCTCTCTGTTACTCCCCGGTTTGTTTAGCTCACTGGAGATAAACTCAATAGGCAGGCATTTTCCCTGAGCACCTGGTTTGCAAAGTCTTCTTGTTGAGCTGCATTGGGAAGACTGTGATTTGACAGCCATAGAAAGTCTGAGCTGGGTAAAAAGGGGAGGGCTTGCAAAAGCTGAAGACAAGTGATCTACAACGTTAGCAAGCTGTTAAATGCATTATGTTTTCATTGGGATCACATCTACTAGACAGTGATTTTTACGTTTTATTTGTAATTAGGCAGTGGCATGTTTCATTAATAAATATTTGGAGTAATTATATAAAACTGCCTCAATTTTAAGAAAAAAAAAGGTTTATATTCCTATTTCTATAAAATAAATAAGACATGCTATCATAATTATTAAACTATGTTTTTTTTATCTATCATTTTTGCATAGTTTGAAGAAAAATGGTAATTCTGTATATTTCTCGTATTTCAGAATGTAGGTGATTATGGAAAATGTTTATATTTGTCTAGCAGATTTTACGTTCTCTTCATACTATGACAATCCACTACATCATTCAACAATGCTGAACCATTTAATTCCTCATTAGAAATAAAGCAAACTAATTTACATTAAACTGTGTTGTCATTATTCAAGAAACACAAATGTAATTCATATCAATTTACTGACTACCAATAGGAGCAAACTCCGTTTGTATCCAATTAGTGGCAGCACACGCATTTACTGACCTTTGGATTATAAACTCCCGATCGTGAAAAGGATGAGTTAAGATTATTATTTGGGTTTTTTTTAATCGTAAAGTAAACAAAGAAAGGAACGTTGCAAGAGTTATTTGCTAAACTTTTTATGTATTAAATAGTTCATGAAAAAAAGATCCCCCACCCCCACCAAATTATGAAAAGTAGGCTAATCACAGGAAATCCACAGGATCAATATCTTCTATAGTGAAGACCTCTTTTACACAGGTGAGTTCAATAATGGGGAAAGTGATGGCAACCATGTTAAAGGTTGTTGACGTAAAAACCAAAGGGCAGAGTACCGAATATTTGATACGGTCCTAACCCAACATCTGAGGAAAGGAATTAAGGAGTAATTATTTCAGATGATTTTCTATTTGGGGAAAGTGAAAAATTCTCTGTGACTGTGCAACGTAGTTCAGATAGATGATGAACTTGTGAGTTTGATTCTAAACAACTTATAGTATTGAATGCTGATTTCAACGACCCTAAAAAAATGTAATAGAGCAGCAGGAAATGCTAGCAGAATGCTTGGTTGTATAGGGAGAGGTATTAGCAGTAGAAAGAGGGAAGTGCTCATGCCATTGTACAGAACACTGGTGAGACCTCACTTGGAGTATTGTACACAGTACTGGAGACCGTATCTCCAGAAGGATATTGATACCTTAGAGAGGGTTCAGAGAAGGGCTACTAAACTGGTTCATGGATTGCAGGATACAACTTATAAGGAAAGGTTAAATGAACTTAACATGTATAGCTTGGAGGAAAGACGAGACGGGGGATATGATGGAAACATTTAAATACATAAAGGGAATCAACACAGTAGAGGAGGAGACCATATTTAAAAGAAG